CCAGCTGCAAGGGGGCCTGGCCCTCGGGTTCTCTGGGGGGGGGGGGGGGGGGGGGGGGGGGGGGGGGGGGGGGGGGGGGGGGGGGGGGCGGATGGGGGGAGGATGGACGGGGGCGAATCTGCCGACCGAGGCTTTTATGCGGCTCTTCACCATCCCCCTCCATCCCTCTCTCTGTCTCTCTCGCTCTCTCTCTCCCGCAGGCCCAACCGAGCGGCGGTCCAAAGGTCAACCACGCACCGGGGGTCCCGTCCCGCTACTGTCTGCCAGCCCCGGGCGGGGTGGGGGGGGGGGGAGGGGGTATGGGGGCCTGCGCGCGGGGGAGCAGGGGGGCACGCGGTGCGCGGCTGGGGGGAAGGCGGTTGGTGGGGCGGGGCTGTGCATGTCCTTCCGCGCCTACAGGCGCTTGCCTGCCGCTCAGCCCCCGCGCGCCCCCTCTGTCGCCTGCCGAGTTGAAAGGACCCCAGCCTGGCGTGGTCCGTGCTCTGCCTCCCCTCCACCAGGTTACATGATTCCCCCCCCCCCCGGTCCGCCCCCCTCCCCAATCTGCCTACCAGTCACCCACACCTCCCCACACCTACCCTCTCCCCTTGCCTCCCTGTGCTCATCCCCTCTGTAGCGTATCACCCGATACCTACCGGTATGTTCCCTCCTCCTCCCCCCACCACTTCCACCCATCCCCTATGCACACACGTACACAGGCTGACACCCCGCGCCCAGTCCTGCCTGCGATTCCCCCAGGCCGCTTGCCACCCTGCCGCCCCAGCGTCGCTCTACACCCACCCCCGGGGCCGCCGCCGCCGCCGCCGCCGCCGCCGCCGCCGACGCAAAGCCGTCCCCCGCAAGTATGACCGCAGCCGCTGCCACGGCCGCCGCCACGCGCCATGCCTCCTCGTCCAACAGTGCCAGCGCCCCGGGCAGTGCTCCGCTATCGGTGGCCTCACCAGCCGCGGCCATTGCCTCCTCGACTGCCTCGCCATCCGGGTCTCTGGACTTCCATCGCGGCGTGAGCCCCTCCTTTTTGCTGCGGTACCGCCGGCATTTCCGCCTCCGCGCGCGTCACAACCCCTCGCGCGCCGAATTGGCGGCCGTGGTCGCTCGGCACTTCGCCTCCAGCATCGGCGTCCCCACCAGCGGTCCGATCCCCGGTGGCGCGGGCCCGGTCCAGCTCCCTGCCTCTGGGGCCCTGGCCGCTCCGACCGGCCCTGGCGGCGTCCTCGACGAGGGCATGATCATCGCCCAATTCCTGTGCACCGTCAAGAGTCGCCGTACGTGTGTCCCCCGCATGCATACACATATCGCCATGTATATTATGTGTATGCCCCCCTCATGCCGCCACTCGCCACCATGTTCGCCCCCCGGGCATTTGCCTCACGGCGAAGGCTCTTTGCCTCGTCGCCGCCCGGAGGCATTTCGCCTGGCATATCTTCCCCCACTGACATCTTGTCCTCTCTCGCTCCCCCTCCCCTCCCCTCCCTCCCCCCTGGGCCGATGTGTCTCGCCCCCCCCCTGCAGATCGCATTGTCCGCCCGACCTTCTCCGGGATGGACAGCCTGCTCCTGCCCCCGACCACGGCCCCGGCCGCCCCGGCGACGAGCTCGACCCCCAGCGCCGCCCCTTCGACCACCGGCGCGTCGCAGGCCCGCAAGGCCGGCAAGGCCTCAGCCAGCGGGCTGACCTCCCCCCGCACCGGGCCGGTGGCCGCCGCCTCCTCGCGTCCGACCACCCCGTCGACAACTCCCACTGCGCCGGCGGCCGCCTCCTCGGGCCCGAAGCAGACCCCCGCGGCCCGGGCCTCCGGGACCCCGGCCTCCAATCGCACGGCGGCCGCCGAGGGCCCCGGCAGCAAGGCCACCGGCCAGGGGGGCGGCGCCAATCGCACGGCTGGCTCCTCCGCCTCTTCGGCCGCTGTGGCCGCCGCCGCGGCCGCCCTCTCGGTTCCCACCGGTGCCGGGCCTGCGGTGTCGGCCGGATCGCGCGTCGAGCCGGTCAAGTCCCTCTCCTCCTAGAAAGAGTGAGGGCGCGGGGAGGCCCCGCCGAGGGCGCGCACGCTTGTGCCCCCCCCCCCCCATATCCGCCCGCGCTCGTGCCTGCCCGCGTGTCCCTCCTGTCCTTGTGTCTCCTCCAGCAGCCGCGCGTCTCCCTCTCTCTCTCTCTCTCCTCCCCCCTGTATAGTATCTCCCCCTTCTCTCCTGCTCTTTCGCACTCGCTCCCCCCGCCCCGTGCGCGCCATGCTCGGTGGCCAGGGCTTCCTCC